CTTGCCCCCCATTAAATTTATAATACGTTTTTCTTTTTCTTATTTTTAACAAATTCTTTAGTAAAATAATGTTACACGTAAAAAAAAATCCTTCTTTTTCAACCACACATTCTCCAATAAAACACTATTCCACAAATTATAACATCAAATAAAGAAGATGAAAATAAGAACAACATCATTAAATATTTCATGGTCATGACCAGTTTAACGTCAAAGTCCACTATTTTAGAGCACGTTTGAGCCCCCTTTTTGAAACGTGCTCCCTTTTTGCTATATATATATATTTTTTTTTTTTTAAATAGTATTTTGATAGATAATATATGGTTAAAAAAATAAAGAAAATTTTTAGATTTGCGTGTAGTATTATTTTACTTAAAAATAAGTAAAAAATATATTTCCAAAATAATGGGCACCAAATAAAGATTTAGAGCTTGTTTGGGAGGGATTTTTGGGAGAAGAATTGATTTTGAATAGTGATATGATGGGAAATGTGTTGTTGAAAAAGACGAATAAATTATTGATGTGATGGAAAATATTATTTTATTTAAGAATGTGTGGTTGAAAATGAGAATTGATTTACTGCAGAAAAATCAAAATATCTCCCAAACAGGACATTAATTTTTTAGAGCGGAATCAACTATTGCCTAGCCATGGTTCAGCATCTAAAAGTTTAGGCATAGCCTCCAAATTCAAGAAAATGTATTCTCAATTAGTTTTACTATCGGAGTATTAAAGTCAACCTTTTCCTTTAGAAATATTTTGAACACCTGTATAATAAATGGGTAGTATTTATGTCTATAAATATTATTGGCTAAAAAAATTGAGCCATGTTTGGTATAGATTAAAATCTAAGCCTCCGTTTGGTATATATTAAAATTTAGATTTCAATTCAAATCAAAAGTTCATTTTAACTACATATTTTATGGGTACTGACGTACTGTTACTTTTCAACCACACATTTCATCAAATTTTATCAAAATTTACTAAAAATATAATTTTAATACTAAGCAACAAAATAATAATTAAAAATTAAAAATGAAGATTTCCGTCCGTGATAATGTAAAATATTTATTTTTATAAATTAAATGTATAGATAAAATTTTCATCTCTAAATAAATTCCGTGTTTGGTAAAAATTAAAATCCAAATTTTAATGTAAATTAAAGTCAACAACAAATTTTAACCACATATTTTATATGATCCACAACTTTTCCACTAGACATCTCATCAATTTTTATCAAAATTTATTAAAAATCTAATTTTAATCTCTATCAAGCATGAGCAAAATAATAAAGATATTAAACATTATCTCAAAAAAATATGTTTCTATTGAATGATGATTAAAAAATAATTCAAAGTCACTTAAAAATTTTAGAGCTTGTTTGTCTCCCATTATTGGGAAAAACTTAGAGTAATGAATAGTATTTTTTGGAGAATGTGTGATTGAAAATTAAAGTAACTTTATTGGTTTGTGTGTAGAATATTTTATTGGGTGAATGTGTGGTAGATAATCTTACTGTAGCAAACAATTTTTTGGATTAATGGTAGACAAATAGGGGCTTAGTTGGTAATATTAAAAGTGTGTATTTTCATAATTTTAATTTATCAACGGATTTTGTTCCTATAAATAAGTTAATAGAAATATTTGTCAGTAGAGAAATGGTCATTAAAAGAAGAATTTATTCGTCATTAACATATAAATAGATAGACAGTCTAAATTATCGAAGTAATATTCCATTGGTGATTTATATAATATAAAAAGAAATGAACGAATAAACTTCCGTCAATAACATTGAATCTTCTCTATTGACCAGATCAACGATCGTGTACCGTTATTGCGGTCTTTAACGAATATTATATTTGATAGTCGCTAACGAATGTGCATTAATGACTAGAACCAGATTTGCATAAACCTCATTTACATATTTTAATTGGGGTTGTCCATCTTTTCCAATTTTGCACATGAAAAGGTATTTTGTAGAAATTTATCTCCGACAGCTGCAGATTTTGAAAACACAAACTACAATTTTCAGGTGCAATTTTTTTTCATGAATAACATGCTTTGTTTCTTATAATAAAGAAATATCACCACCAAGAATAACAATGTGCAAAATTGTAAGGGGGTGAGGAGATAATGAGATCATTAGAAGGGGATTCTTTATCGACAAACTTCAATGAGCCACTATCAATCGATACGATAGATGGGTAGTTAAAAGATTCACCATTAGAATAACAATGTGCACATTTGTAAGAGAGACGAGGAAATGACACACGTGTAACAATGAAGATCTTTATCAATGATAAAAGGAGATGTCGAAGAGATAAATGTATTAATTTTGACTTTCGAAGTTTCTTGTCTAATCATTTTTGGAATATCTGTTAATGTTGACTAGAAAAAGTATAAAACTTGAATTTTCTAAAGTGACACCCGCTTGCTAAAAATAGGCCTATGAAAGAGAATAAACTCGAATTTTCTAAAGTGATTATGTTTTCTAGTGTACACCACGTTTAGAGAAATTTTCAAGTAGGAAAATTCACAACTTAGACATTTCAAAGATTAGGTGGTCACATTGGTGACCTCCGATAAAATGTTGTAACGTATAATTTAAATAAATAGGTCAATTACCCACTGGTCTAAGTGACATTTAAATAGCATAAGTCTAGGTGACATTTAAATAACATTGAATGAGAAACATAACCAAACGAATTACATAATTTCATATTCAATTAAGACTCGCGTTATGACACTTAAACTGATGCTAAATGTCACGACCAGGCCCGGTTCTGGCCTAAGGCCACTGCAAGGTATAAAGGGCCTCAAAATTTTTTTTTGATAGCCCAAAACAATTATCATTTGTGAAATGTGTAAATTACACTTGATACTAATATAAATTTTAATTTTAGTTTTACTACCACCCTTTTTATTCCGAAAGTACATTTAGAGCTTGTTTGGGAGAGGTTTTTGGGGGAAAAATTGATTTTGAATAGTGATATGATGAGAAATATGTGATTGAAAAAGAAAAAAAAATTATTGATGTGATGAAAAAAATATTATTTTATTGAAGAACGTGTGGTTAAAAATAAGAATTGATTTACTGTAGAAAAATATAATCCTTCCCAAACATGACCTTAGTTTTCAAGGGAAAATGAATAATTTTTAATAAATAAAAATAACATAAATTAGCTTGATTATTGGAACAATTCAAGAATAATTAACGAGCATTTTAAGGAATTTAGGAATTTCAAGAAGACCAATTAGTTAGAATAAGATATTTTTGTGTTGTTTTATATAATACATATTATAAAATTTGTAGTATATCATAAAAAATATTTTAATTTAATGGATAAATGTGATTTTTATTCTTGAACATGAAAATTGATTGTCGACGAATCAATCGATGAGTGAGTAGCATGTGTATAATATTTCCCATCATTAAAAAAATATTTAATTCGATCACGTTTGGTGCTAATACGCTTGTAAAAAATTTATGTGTAGGGACGTCATGATAATTTTTTGTCTAGGACCTCAAAATTTTTAGGGCCGACCTTTGTTACGACTACGATGCTACAAGCTTACGATTTTGGGATCAGATCTATGCTGCCCTCGGGAAAGCTTGCCCGAGGATTTGGTTCAAGTAGTGTATAGAGAAATGCTTTTCGTGTTAGAGAGAGAGAAAGATAGAGGAATGGTTAGAGAGAGAGAGAGAAAAACGGTGCTTCCGTTTTTGCAGATGTAAAGTAGAGAGAGAAGTAGTTAAAGAGAGAAATAAACGGTTAAAGATAGAGAAATGAGTTTTTTTTTTTAATTAATAAGGGGAAGAAGCGTCTCAGGAGAGTAGAAAAAAAGAATTGTTACAAGAGTGAGGTAGTCTTTGTTGAGCTGACAGTCACAGTGTGAGTGTTCGATTCTTGTCTTCTACAAGGTATGAAATTGGACCATTTGTGAGCACTAGTATAACAGCTTTTGTACTCTAATTTATTGAGGCACATCCCGCGATTTATGCTACCGGTACATCAAGGTGTATATCGGCGGGTACATCACACTCACATGGGGGGTGGGACCAACTTGAATAAAAAAATATTTTATACAAGTGGGTCCCACCCCTATGTGAGTGTGATGTACACCTTAATGTATAATTCTTAATGTACAAGTAGCATTTTTGATCTCTCCCTTGGCTCCCATCCCCCTACCTTTCGTCTCACTTTTTCAACTATCTTCATTGTATATGGTCATTTACTTTATTTGTATCTTTCTCTTTTTTTTTCCTTCTTACGTGTAATATTATCTTATAAAAGATTATTTGATTAACAACAAGAGAGGAAAAAATAAATTTTGATAATGAGAGCCAAATGTGGGCAAAATCTAAGGGGAAGAAGCGTCTCAGGAGAGTAGAAAAAAAAGAATTGTTACAAGAGTGAGGTAGTTTTTGCTGAGCTGACAGTCACAGTGTGAGTGTTCGATTCCTGTCTTCTACAATGTATGAAGTTGGACCATTTGTGGGCACTAATATAACAATTTTTGTACTATAATCTGTTGAGACACATCCCGCGATTTACCTCTTCCAAATTGCCCACAATATTCTAGGGGCCGGGGCCAACCTTTAAAAAAGGAATTGTTACACATGTGAGAGCGTTTAATATTATTTTTAATGGAAATAAATTACACACTCAATAAATGAAGGTATACTTAAAAAAAATTATTTAAGTCGTAGTCTTTAATTAATTATCAACGAAGAATTGAAAATGAAATTCTAACAAAACGTTAGCTCTCTCGCTCAACCGCTTGCTCAAGCCCTAATTAGTAGCTTTTACCGCTATCCTTGCATCCAATTCTTCTTGAATCAATTAGAGATATAATTACCAATTTCTTTCATGAGTCGCAGAAGAGATTAATATTTTGACACTCCACTCGAAATCGGTTTGTTCGGTTCGGTGAAGTCGGGAATTGGTGGAGTACCGAAAAGGAAACGCAAAGAGAAGTGAGAGCTCTTTGATTGATTGATGGAGGGGAATTCGGGCGGCGGTGGCGGAGGGAATGATGTGGAGTTGCTGTGCAAAACTTTGCAGGTGGAACACAAGCTTTTCTACTTCGACCTGAAGGAGAATCCACGTGGACGATACCTTAAGATCTCCGAGAAGACTTCAGCCACCAGGTCCACTATCATAGTCCCCTCCAACGGCATCTCCTGGTTCCTTGATCTCTTCAATTACTATGCCAATCCCGATGACCCGGAAGTTTTTAGCAAAGAACTCCAGCTCGACACTAAGGCACCTATACACCCCACACATTGTATTGGTCCCCTAATTTAATTTCTTCTTTATTTTTTTCTGCGGTATGTACTTGCAGGTATTTTATTTTGACGTTGGTGAGAATAGAAGGGGACGCTTTCTCAAGGTTAATTTCTTCCTTTTCCCATTTACTGTCGAATTTATTCATGCTCTTGTATTTGCATGGCCGATCCTTGCCTAATTTTATCTTACATAATCTTAGCTATTTGTGTTAATTTAGGAGTTTTGACGATTATTGCCTATCTCGATTCTCCGTATTAACACGGGTGCTATAGGTGGCATGGGTGCCCACACCGACCTACTGGATCTGGTTAAATTTCAAACCAAACTGATCCAATCCTTCTATCAAAACGAACCGACTCGAACCATTTTGGCTAGGTTTGAACAAATAATATACCTTTGGAAAGATAATTTAGAGTTCCGGGGGGTGGGGGGCTCAATTGGGAGTTGTAGATCAAAATTATGCGTGTTTGAAGTTAGGTAGTCAAGTAAACTTGAGATATCCACAATTTGTCCAGCATACTTGACTTTTGCATAGCAAATTCAAAATTTGTTGAACAAATTTGATTTGTTTTGTCCAGAGCAAACTGAAGATTTTTGGGATACCTCGAGTTTGCTAACAAAAGTCGAGAATGCTGTCAAGTTTGCTTGATGGAAAAACTCGAGTTTGCTCATTGCGGGTCGGTTTGGTTCAGTTTGGGTCATTCCGGGTTGATGGTAGAACCCGAACTGACCCACCTGATTTACCCCTAAAACTTCCGGACCCAAGCTGAAAAGCTTGCAGAAACTGAACCAAGTTGGTTCGGGTCGGTTGGTTAAAATGCCCAGGCCTGATGGGGTGCTAGAAGGTTTTTTGCTATCTCTCTGCTATTGGTTATTGAATATGATCTAGATTTTCCATTAGTTGCTTTTTCGAGAGAGTTGACTTTATTTAGTGTTGGGTGCTATGTACTGTTTTCTTCAGTTGCAGCCGTCAATGGCCGTTTTCAATATGTTACTCCACTGCGGTATCTAACACGAAAAATTCAATTTGTTGATACTAATAAATTTCAAATACTCTCTCATCAGGTAATAACTCAAGAGAGATTGATTCACATGGTCATATGCTTTTTGCATCCAATTTACAGTTGAGACTTTTCCTGCATCTTGAGTAGGGCATTGACATCATTATGGGCCACTAACAATGGTTTCATTTTTTTATTTTTATTTTTGCACTACCTGTTTCTAGCTTCAGCACAGAATTTTTGCTAGCAACTTGTATGCATCTCTGATAAGCTTATAAGTTATTATTTCATAACGCAAGTAGGACATCTTTTCCTGCCTGGTTCCTTGTTCCTTTCTGATCATTTTCTGAAAAGACAATATATTGTAGAGCATTACATGATATTCAATTTCCTCGAACAATTCTGAAAAGGTCTCCATAAATCATTCCATCTGGTAGAATTTAACACCATCTTAGGTGTTTAATGCTTACTGATGTCTTTGCTTTTACTTCAAGTGCTGTAAAATCTTCGGTGTCAAAATTGTTCCACTGCAGTCTGTCTGTATCATCCAGTTTCTCTGTAAGAGATGCTCTACACATTCTTTATTGTGCACTATTTAGTAAAGTTGTTGAATTCTATATTGATTCTGGCTGTAGAATTTACCCTCCAATGCACATTTTCCTTGCTTTGAAGATTAGTATATTGTTCCCTCTCGTGTCACGACGACAATTGTCTCTGCCTGCACATACTCCTATTCGTAAACGTAATTTTCCTTAGTTCACCTTATTTTTCTTGTTTCATTCTTCATTCCACGAGAGGTTTTAGGTCCTCTTCCCTAATCAATCTTAAAAGTTCCTCCTGTGCAATAGGTTTCTTTGTTTTTTCCATTTAATTAGAAAGCATGGATATTGCTATGGGATTATATAAAAGAAGATATGGATACTATTAATTATAGACGCTTTCTCAAGGTTAATTTCTTTCTTTTCCCATTTACCGTCGAATTTATTCATGCTCTTGTATTTGCATGGCCCATCCCTTGCCTAATTTTATCTTACATAATCTTTGCTATTTGTGTTAATTTAGGAGTTTTCACGATTATTGCCTATCTCGATACTCCGTATTAACACGGGTGCTATAGGGGGCATGGGTGCCAAAACCGACCTACTGGATCTGGTTAAATTTCAAACCAAACTGATCCAATCCTTCTATCGAATTCAATTTCCTCGAACAATTGTCTCCATAAATCATTCCATCTGGTAGAATTTAACACCATCTTAGGTGTTTAATGCTTACTGATGTCTTTGCTTTTACTTCGAGTGCTGTAAAATCTTCAGTGTCAAAATTGTTCGACTGCAGTCTGTCAGTATCATCCAGTTTCTCTGTAAGAGATGCTCTGCACATTCTTTATTGTCCACTATTTAGTAAAGTTGTCGAATTCTATATTGATTCTGGCTGTAGAATTTACCCTCCAATGCACATTTTCCTTGCTTTGAAGATTAGTATATTGTTCCCTCAAGTGTCACGACGACAATTGTCTCTGCCTGCACATACTCCTATTCGTAAACGTTATTTTCCTTAGTTCACCTTATTTTTCTTGTTTCATTCTTCATTCCACGAGAGGTTTTCGGTCCTCTCCCCTAATCAATCTTAAAAGTTCCTCCTGTGCAATAGGTTTCTTTGTTTTTTCCATTTAATTAGAAAGCATGGATATTGCTATGGGGTTATATAAGAGAAGATATGGATACTATTAATTATTAAAATTCTCAAGGTACAATCTGATGGGGATACGACATGCAGAAGTAAATATTCAATTTGAAGTATGATATTAAAGTTATGATGCTCATAATCAGCATAAAAAGAAAATTCTAATGACAGTAATTTTTTTATTTTTTTATTTATATCTATATAATATCTTGAGCATAATAGATAGAAGAATTAGTTTCTGCATTTTTACGCTAATATACAAATGATGGATTTCATTTTCTCATTAATGAAAGAAAAAAGTAGCAGAAAGGGGAGACATGTTTAAAGATTCATATAACTCAAATTAATTAGTTGATTCATCATTTTAAAATTAGATGATGCTGTATTCATTTAATCATCAATAAGAAATTGTTTGGAAATATGGTACTTATCCAAGAAATGTCAAAATTTTTTTCTTTTTTTTCAATGAATTCATACAGCTGTACTTGAAATTATGAAATGTTTTACTTCTTTCTGTCTTATTTCAACTTATCCTATATTTATTTGTGCATATTTGTGCTGTATTTTTTGTACTCAAGACTCAAGAGTGGCCGGCAAGGAGGGGAATTTGGTTTATTCACGTCTATCAAAGAACTTCATTAGGGACAAGGGAGTTATACACTGTCCATGCTTCATATCCCTAACTACCTATAATACCATTTCAGATTCTTTTGTAATTGTTTTTCTGGCATTGATATGTAATTGTTGTTAGCCGGTGATGGTTTATTTAGCCTACAAATTGGTGAATCGGCTCCTCTATTCAATTTGAATAAACAAGTATTTCTTTGTTTTCATCTAAGTTGTCTGTGATTTCAAGTCCTGCAAGTGCTATAACCAATGGGAGTTGAGTAGATATTTTTTTTACGAATGCTAATGTATGTATATATTATCGACCTAACGAGTTCTCCACTAATGACTGATTTGAATGGCCCAAATTACCAATTACACAGGCCAGAAAATATGCATCTTATAAAGTTCTGAATCTCTGATTTTGATTTTGACTGAAGTTTGACTGTAGCATGGCAAAAGCTCTATTGTATCTAATAGACTCTGTATGCAGGTGTCTGAAGCATCTGTTAGCAGAAACCGCAGTACAATCATTGTCCCCGCAGGAGGTGCCCGAGATGATGGATGGGCTGCATTTAGGAATATTTTGGCAGAAATAAATGAAGCATCAAGGCTTTTCGTTCTGCCCAATCGGGTACCTTTTCATCCATTGATATTTGGCTTTACTAGCTCTACTTATTCTTGAGGTGCCTCAAAAACCAAACCTTTTCTTTTTGTGTGAATACACCAGCAAAACTCGGAACCGTCAGAACACCTTGTTGGACTCTCGGATGATGTTGGGGTTGGCTTTATATCCAGTCACGGTTCTCAACCTTCCACAGCAACTGACTTGAATGTGGATCGGTCTGCCGATTTGCCACCACCCGAAGAAATCAATAACATGGGAGTCTCCAAAGTGATACGGGCTGATCAAAAGAGATTCTTCTTCGACCTCGGGAGCAACAACAGAGGTCATTTCTTGAGAATATCAGAGGTATTGCTCAGTGGTCTGCATTGATAGACAACTGGGATTGGCTTGCATAATTTTTCCATGTTTAGGTATTTTATTGTTTGTTTGCGTGTTTTTAAAATGTCCCTGAATTGCAGGTTGCAGGTGCAGATCGCTCCTCCATCATTCTCCCACTGTCAGGATTGAAACAGTTTTATGAAATGGTGGGTCATTTTGTGGAGATCACGAAAGATCGAATTGAAGGGATGACTGGTGCAAATGTTCGGATTGTCGACCCCCCTCAGAGATGATACTGGATGACACATTTGTTGGGTAATAAACACAGCCGTTAGGTCCGAAATAAGTGGATGGAAAACTATAATGTGATATGTTGCAGTTGATTGGGATGGAGTCGCGAGCTTGATGTGTCAGTGGTTCGCCTTATTTGCGTTTCGATTGACTCTTAATAAGTTTATCTCTTTCAGTTCAAGTAATTGTGTACTGTTAGCAAGTTCGATTTTTATATACGAATAGCTCGTAAATAAATCAATACGCAATGTTTAAGCAAACGTTTACATTTCCTCCTGTCATTCCAGGTGTGTTCTCTGCTGTTATATATTCTGCCAGAAAATTGTCCAACTGTATTTTTGGGCTATCCGTTCTATGGAGTGGATGCTGAACTTCAATTAATGAATGTACTGTTGCAGGCTTTGATGAATATGTTTCTGAAATTTAGAATTTTTGTACATGTTTATACTCGACCACATTGTTTTATAGGCCCTGTTTGGGAGAAATTTTAATCAAAATTCTAGCAATTAACTATCAAATCAGCTATCATTTTTGACTTTCCCTCTCACAGGGGGGCCCACAGGTTGACTATAACGGCTATAATTTTGATTAAAATCACACAAAAATTGCTCTCAAACACGCTCATGGTGTTACTTTTCTCGTTGTTCCCAGTACCACAAAAAATGGTGGGACTGTGTGCACGATTTTTGCTTTTTGAATCAGCTTTTTTCAAAAAGTTGAGTTCTTTGAGAAAATTATTCAAATGTTTTCAAAAGTAACAATTTCTTAATCTTGAAAGCAACTTTTGACTTTTTAAAAATGTCAAACGAGTAGAAAAATGATAATGAAAATTAGAATGTGGCTCAAACATGGGCTAATTATTACAAATATTTGCTGAATTATTCTTGTCTTATCGTTTTTTAAATTTCGACACTCATTTTTTACACAAATCACTATTCTTCTCACCTAAAAATCTTCGATCTCTATTTCATTTTTCTAGATGTGAATCGAATTAGAATGCTAAAATATTGGAACACATTTTGATTTCACATTCACATAAAAAATTATATATAGTGATTTTCATAGAGTCCGTTTGAGTTCCACTTTTGGTATAGAATGCATTTTGAAATAGTAGATTGATGAATAATGTGTGGTTAAAAAATAAAGAAAAATTTTGAGTTTGCATGTAATGTTATTTTATTAGAAAATGTGCTGTTGAAAAAAAGAGAGAAAAATGTATTTAAAAAAAAGGGTAATTAGCGTAATATTTATAATGTAATTACTTGTATAAAAACAATTCTCATGGAAATTAAACATTAAACAAATAAAAAATATTACACGAAAAAAAAAAAAAAAAAACACTCTTGCCCGTGCAGTGCACCATTTCATAAAACTCTAGTTTTATAATATTTTGATGGAGACGTAAGGAAATAAGGAAAAATTTGTTTTGCGAGCCAAAATTCATGTTCTTCAACCTTTGAAACCCTCCAATTTCACGAGGAGCGAATTTTATATAGAACCGGTAGCCGAGGGTCTCGATTCAGTGCACAGAAGAAATAATCTTTACCATTGAAATTGAGGAAGTAGGCGAAGATTGACAGTATAGTTTTAGGGAACCCTCAAATCCTTCCCGCCTAAGGAACACGGAGGGGTTATTTATAGCTACCAATTCGTTCTCGCAGTCAAAGAAAATCTTATACAGTATTAGCTGGTTACTTCTGCATTTGGAGTGCTCTTTTAATGGCAATTCATCCTCCAGAAGAGTCGGCTACTGACAATAATGGTGTCACCATTGAGGTGGATGAAGAAATCGAAGGAGACGTAACGGGTTCCAGGAATTATCGCTTTTCAAGAATTGGAGAACCGGTTCCTATAAAGTCCGAACCTGATTCCGGGTTTGACACGGAATGCCTTCCGTCACAGCCTTTGGCTGTCTCCGAACGTTTTCGCCTCCTCTTTGTTGCTCATTCAGATGGTCACTATTTTTATTTTTTTAACATTAACATTAATCACTTAGCTGCTCTATTGGTAGTGTTTTAACATTAACATTAATTGCCATTTCTTGTTATGTTTGTTTAGGGTTTTGTGTTGCAAAGACTAAGGAGGTTATTGCAGCCGCTGAGGAATTTAAAGACAAAAATACTGGTCGATCTGTACAGGAGTGTAGCTTCTTGGACCTTCCTATTGGAAAGGTTTCAATATTGGCCTTGTCAGCTGATGATTCCGTCCTTGGAGCCACTGTGGGAAGGGATATCCATTTTTCTGCTGTTAGCGCTTTGCTCCACAAGGTATGCACTAAGGCCGATAGAGCTTCTCCAAGGCTATATGACATTTTTTCTCTGTTGATACATGCTTATTAGTTAACTATTTATTATCTATAAGATCTTCAAGCTATCTACTATTAGTTCGCAACGAATCTAAGTTGCCATAAAATGTTTTTTGGAATGTCCTCGGTTCTCCTCAGAGTGTTATAAAGAAACGAAACTTTAGACCTCTAAAACCATAAGAGTTTTATCTGGAAATATGAACTGAATTGGAATTAGATGGTAAAGACCAACTCAAAATAAGGCTGGGAACTTCAGAAGTTCAGAGGGTCCTGTGAAATGCAAGAAGAAAACAAGAAATTACACCAGAAATAGTGGAATAATGTTCAGGTTGTTGGTATTGCTAGATATATACCGGGGGATTTGAATTTGAATTAGATGGTAAAGACCAACTCAAAATAAGGCTGGGAACTTTAGGAGTTTAGAGGGTCCTGTGAACTGTAAGATGAAACCAGAAATTACACCAGAAATAGTGGAATAATGTTTAGGTTGCTGGTATTGCTAGATATATACTGGGGGATTTAAAGGAATCAGATGCTGAGAAACTAGCATAGACCAAGCTAATTTGTAAGTAGCTGTAAAATTTGTTTTCTATTTAGAGCATATAAAATTGACCCTCTTTTTTCTTCACTTTATCCATGGTGAATCTGCCGAAGTGACAACTTTATCTTTATTTCTATTGCGATGTAACGGGAGCAAAAACCATCCTTCTCAGTCTCACTTGATGGTTCCAGTTGCATTAAGGACATGCGGTGGTCTAGAAAATTTGAAAAGGTTTATGTTACCCTTTCAACTGATGGAAAACTTTTCCGTGGATCTGGTCAAGGCCCCCCTGATTACATGATGGACAATGTTGATTGTGGTATGCCTTTCATCTTTCTGAATATATTAGTTCTCTAAACACGAGTCCGGTGCTAGACGAGCTTCACAGAATGCCAGAACTTTAGTTTTAGCATTTTAATGTCATAGAGATATTTGTATGCACCTTTTGCCTTTCAGACATTTATTCACCATCTTATTGAATGTCGTTAGAACAAAAAACTATTCAAGGACATTACTAATGGTGAAAACCTTTTTTTGCATGACTACAAATAACATAAATTATTTTCTTCACTGCCAAAAGAACTAAGCTGTTTGCATTGATATTGATCATTTTTCTTCCAATGAAACAATATAACTTGTTCAAACGTGCAAAATGTGGCGCCCTTTTCTTTTTTATTTATATTTTGCTTACTCTCCATTTTTTTGGGCAAGTTGATTGGAGCGTGAAGGGAAATTTTGTTGCTGTGGCGATGAAAAATGTCCTCAGTATTTTGTCATCTCAATTTAAGGAAAAGTTGAGGTTGTCGCTTCCATTCAAGTCAGTCATTGGCGATTCAGATGTTAATCAAGTTATAAAAGGTACTGGATCAGATTATCAAAAAATTTCGTGATGCCACCCCGTCTACCTTTCTCTGTATGATTTTCTTGTTTTTATTACTACAGTCTACTATTGCATATAGCACCGTTTGTTGAGTTTCTGTTGTTTGGATCTATATTCATTGTTGGTTCAGAGGTACAGTCTATTCAGCCTACTGGAACTATTGTGGTAAAATTTTATTTCTAGCTAGAGCACAATGTTTTGAGCCATTGCTAGGCAAGCAAGCCGTGGCTCGCATAGGTTATTGCTGCCAGTCAGTACTTGATATGGTGATAATTTACATTATTCACTTGGTCCGCTCCTGATATGTTTTGTGACTGCATTGTTAGACAATATGATTTTTAACTCTTTACACAAGGGCCTAATAGTAACAGTTGCACCATTTCTTCTGACATGCCAAAATTGCCGCTACAAATTACATGGATATCATTGTTTCTAATTTCAAATTTACCCCCTGTTTGCAACCACATTGTTGAAATGAATTTTTATATTTCTCTCACTTTTTTATAACTAAGTTGAATTGGAAATTCTGAAATTAAGATGAAATATTCCTTCTGTTATTTTCAAGTGATGTTCTTTGACCTTTGTGAAGCATCTCAAAAACATAGGACAAACTGAGTACTTATTCATTGTGATCTGGAATTAGATGGTTAACATGAACACAAAGTTTAATGAAATCTGGGGTCAAAAATATTTTGCCATGCATGTTATTGATTGTATGGGAAAAGGCTGGATACACTTGGTAGGTGGTTGGAAGGGCATAATGAAAGTAAGTTCATTCAATTGTTTGAGCTGTCGATAGAGAACCAAAATTTCTTTTCCAATTGTAAAGCCTTTGGCCTCATGATTCCCAGTGTTACGACTCTTTTTCATTATGACAGCAGCTAAGGATTCCATCCTTGCAGCAGAAAATTTCAAAGCTTTAGAGAGAATCTTCTTCAGTAGTGTTTTATGTGTATGGAGTTACGAAAGGTTGCTGTTTGTCTTTACACTGGATGCTTTATTCAGTTCGGATCTTTCCGTTATGTCTTTCAAAAGTGAAGTAGGTTATTTAAGCAAAGACAATGTAGTTGTTAGGTCCACCGGAAATTTAGGGTATTGGGAATGTGAGTAGAGTTAGATTCTTTGCCCTAAACGTCTAATGTGGACTATTTGGTGTGAATTCAACAGAAGAGCTGCTGAGAGGTTGAAATTCAACTTACAGGCTGATATCACTCCCCTTTAACTTTTATTAATTAAAATTCTCATTGCATCCATTCTTGGAATATAGAAACTTCTTTTTCGCAAGGGATATAGCTGAAGAAAGCTTCTATATATTTGTTGATAATATGTCTTCCTCTTTTGTATCATTATCAAGATTGGATTTATCATTTATGAAATAACGGTTTTTGGGAGAAGTCTTTTTGTTTTTTTGTTTCTGTTGCTAATTCTGTTGGTTGGTTTTGTTGCAAGTTCTGATCAAGTATGAATTGCTGGATTTTCATAATCCCTTAATTCATAAAGCCTAATTGTTCCTTATCTTCGTTATTGTTAATTATCTACTTATCCATTGATTTATTATCATTTCTAATGTTTTGGGGTACCAGTGGATGCTATCAGATGGATCCGTCCAGATTGTATAGTTGTGGGATGCTTTCTATTGAGTGTTGATGGTGAGGAGGAAAATTACTTGGTTCAAGTTATTACAAGCAAGGGCAGCAAAATTACTGACGTCAGCGTATGATTCCCTTATACTGACTTCTATGTATTGGATGAAAATTACACTATATTTGTATGTTATTTTTCATATTGTTTGTGATTTTAGCCAAGTGCTGAAGTGAGCTTCAGGAAGTGCTGCATTATGATGTCGATCAGTTCAATATAACTGGGGCTCATTGCCTGCCAACTTTTTATTATGTGGATAGTTACCTATGTTAATGCTGTAATGTGGATACTAAGCTACTGTAACTTTTCCTGTTTCAGGCATTTTTTGCTCTTTAGAATATATTATTTGAGGTTCATGTGGTCTTAGAGGATGTTTGGTAGGGATTAAAATTAGATTTTTAGTGGATTGTGATAAAATTTTTTGAAATGTGTGGTTGAAAAGATGTGAGACTGACTTGGATTAAAATCAGATTTTAATCCGGCCCAAACAACCCCTTAGTATGTTCTGCACTGGTAAGCGTGCAGAATACATTTCTGCAATAAATTATGCCAATCCTACAAAAAGAAAATTTAAACAGAGAAATCTTCTAGTTCTCATGTTATTGATTTATCATCGAGAAAAGTAGATATTGAAGCAAATGTATAATAAGATAATTCTATTTTTTTGTTTGACTTTGGTGTCACATGTTTTGTGGAAGGTTTTAATATTTAAACAGAGAAAGAAATCTTCTAGTTCTCATGTTATTGGATGATAGTTTTTGTGGAAGGTTTTAAAATTTAAACAGAGAGAGAAATCTTCTAGTTCTCATGTTATTGGTTTATCATCGAGAAAAGTAGATATTGAAGCAAATGTATAATAAGAGAATTATAATTTTTTGTTTGATTTTGATTTTGATTTCACATGTTTCAGATTTTAAATATATCTTTAATTTTCCCTTCCAGGCCTCTTCCAAGCCGACTGTGTTATCCTTCGAAAATATTTTTCTTGATTTCCGTCCTGATGATGTTCCTGTTGCACGCGGATCACATCTGTTCCTCAGTTATTTAGATCTTCAGTAAGCATATGTTTAATTTCTAATTATTTTTCTTAGCTGTATGGCTAAATTGAAGTTATGTTGCATGCTATTCACTCTTATTGTGTTTTAACCATGATTGCTTTGTTGGCATACCTTTAACTGCCTAAAAGGCACTCCATATCTTGTCACTGTTGATACTTGTCTCTTAGCCTATGTTTGGCTCATGTTTACATTTCATTATAAACACTAAAGCCACTTTTTATCTATATATTTCGAGGGAACCACAAATACTACCCATTTTTCCACCACTTATTTCTATCTATTTACGATTTAAACCATTCATAAACACTTCCGAAACATACTTCTAGTATTTATTGGTATGAAGTTAACTATTGTTTCTGCAAGAGAGCAAAATATGCAAATAAATTTCGGAAACAGAAAGTAACGCACTATTTTCTCGCTTGATTTTTCTGCATTGTATGTTGGCTTCTGGTGAAGGATTGGCACTACACTTGCCTCTGCTTTAATGGGGCTTCAACTCATTGTTTGCTGGGAGAACAGTATCCCCTGATCTTCTGCATCCCTACAAAGGAGCCTTAATTCCTCTTTTTTTTCTTTCCACCTATGACCAGGGAAACTTTTTACTCAAATGGGAACTTGCTATTATTCCTCAAGTTTCATAGAAAACAATATCCTGTCTGTTAATTTAGTCTCTTGATCTTCTTCCCTCTGGCTCTCCATGCTGATTCAACTGCCACAATTGAGACACGGAACAGTTCACTTCAGTTCCCATCTTCTGAGGGTTATTCTCCAGCCGTTCCTTTTCCTTCTTTAATAACTTGGTTTGATATCAGTGTTTCCACTATTCAATTACACAAATGAGGCATGAGGCACTTTAATTGTGGCTAAGAGAAGGTTTGTGAGCTTGCTTATGAAAGTTCTAGTGGGATCAGATTGTGCTTCATGCTTGCATAACAAAAAATGTTTTATACAAGAATTCTTTCAATTTTGGATATGTTCTCATAAAAGGTATTTCATAGAGAACAGAAGGTTCTAGGCTCATCTTGTTGGACTTTTTAAGGCAAAAAACATTTCTTCGAGTCTTCACGATTGAAACTGGGGCCATTTCAAAAATAAACAGAGTCTATATAAATGATACCATATTTTCATTGTTTGTCTTATTTGTGACTGGCCAATTATTGTATCCGTGTTTCATGAGATGCAGGAGCTTGCATTATGGTAAGCCTCATGAGTCACTTTTTTATGAACCGAAATCTGGACTAACTTTCAGTTCTTTTACTCTCTTTTTTATTTTTATTTTTCATGAGAATTACTTTCTTGCACAGAATGCATGACAACCAAATGGACGAGGGAGCAAAGAAAGGGGTAACAAGAAGAGAATATTTGCATATAATTGTCTTGTAGTAACCACTTAAGTGACTTATAATCGTGGCTACCATTGGCATAACTTATGTAGCGACCCGAGCCCTAGCGACCCGTGATAGTACTAAAATCTTAAACTAGCATAATCATACATAAATTGTTCAGAAAAGTGTGGAAATTAACTTGGATAAAAAAATTTAAGACTTCAGGGACCGGTTGTAAAGCTGAAGAAAATTTACTTTTGTAAATTGGGATTTTTACCTTTGGACACATTTCTGAAAAAAATTGGTTCGGCAACCAAACGAAGTCCAAATTTTTAACTGCAAGAATATTACACCTTGGAGAATTACATGTTAAAATTTTGTATAATAATTCAATCAATAGAAGGGTCAAATTGATTTTTAAATTCAGACCGTATATGTTCTCAGGTATGTTCAGGCAACCCTTGAAAAAACAATAACTTGAGTTTTAGATGCTCAAAATCCGTGATTTCAAATCTAAGAGATAGATAACCCATATGGCTACCTTCTCCAATTTGAATCACTTCAAAACTCCAAGTATTTTGGTCAAGGTGAATTTTTACACGTAGGGGCAAAAACTTAAAATTTATACACTTTAGCTTTGTGAACTCAAAACAAATAGATGAACCAAAAGGAAGTATTGTATCCACATTGAACAAATCTCCATCAAACAAATTTGTCTTTAAACATTCAAAATTGCTAAATTGAAATACCAAGAAATTTAAATATTTGTTCAAACATAACATGACTTAAACAATAAGTTTGGGGTTTACTTCAAGGCACCATTGCTCTTCGTCACGCCGTCATCGACTGCATTAATATGAAAATGTTAGGTTGGGGGTTGAATATTTCATAAAAAACACTCAATAAGCTTATAGACAAGCTATATCAAATCATATCATAATATAAGCATATGTTCGTGCAATTTAAATTTTTATAGAATAAGCATATTGATGATTAGACTACATATTATATTTGGTGCACTACTACGCCACGAATTTCACATATCTGGTGCACAACTACGCTACCCGCACAATTTAACCCCATAAGGAGTCACATAAAACATAAAGAAAAGCTATTAATCACAATTGTACATGCTCAACCATATCATGAATTGAAATAAAACGGGGGGTTTGAGTCTACCTCTTTTGAAATGAGTCTTAGGTTTGAGCTTCGTGTGTGTGGACTTCAAAAACACCAACTTTGGAAATTCCATGCAGCACCTTTATTTTCTTTCCTCTTCTCTTTTCAAATATATTTCTCCGCCCTTTTTCTTTCACTTATAGCTGAACTTGTGCTTTTGTTTGGTTCCAATTGAGTCCCCAGTAGCTGAAATTTGGATGTATTTCAATTCAACTAGGACCTAGAATTTGGAATTTAATCAATTACTAAACTACCTAAATTTATGGTAATTAGGACTCTATCATGTATGATGTCTCTTGGAAATGTGATTAATGCTTATAAAAAATGAGATAAGCTTAAAATTTCTAACCGATTCATCTTGATCCCTATATATCTAAATAGATTTTTTCTTTAGGCCTTTATCCACGAATTAATTTGAACTTCGATTAGAGCTATGTGACTACTAAGTCTAATACAATTTGGCGACAAAATATTACTTAAACTTTTACTATAATCCGTTGTAAAATAAAATTTCAATGGCAAACCACGCAATTAACATAGGCTAGACTAAGTGTGTATTTAATTAAACGACCAACTTAAAGCCCATAAATTGGGGAAAACTTGCAACGATGCGAATTTTATCTTCCTTAAAAGAATTTGCAGAAAACTATCGCTTTAAAATTTGAAATTTATCGGAAGCTACAACTTAACAGTACAATGCCAAATTATTGTGGTTACATACTTGTCTGGCAAAGCATAGAAAGAATTCACTAACTATAATTGTGTATTTCTATTTGTTACAGTGGACTTGCATTTATTGCTAATAGGAAGAATCTGTCTCAGCATGTTGTATTATTTTGCTGGTCACTGGATTATGGGAAGAACGAAGCTGCATTGATCGATATTCTCAATGATGCTTGGATTCCACACATTGAATGTCAAGGTGCTCTAGTTTGTACTCAGGATTAGTCTATATCAGCAAGGTTCTTCTTGAGTTTATTGTGCAACCTTTCATTTTACCAGATTGTTTTGTCTGCTTTCCTCTTTCTTTTACATATCCTATTCACTGCATTTATATATATTCACTTCATTTTACGAGATTGTTCTCTTCATATATATATATATATATGAAGAGAGATTATTTAGTAAGCATTGGTGCTTAGCTCTATACCATGACACTAGTGCTTAGTAGATCATTTATTTCTCTGTATTTATATTATTTCCTGAGTTTTTTTTTTTTTTTTTTGTGACATGATGGTTGATTTGGAGAATTAAATTTGTTATTTATGTTTGCAAGGTGAATGTGCTTCTTTGGTACCCCATTGACATTGATTCAAATTGTCAATGTGTTGTAAGTTGATGGAAGTTCGTTGTTCATGCTAGATGACTTTGTTTGATGACAACACATCAACTCATTTGAGAAAATGCTATCACTAAAAATATTTTGTGCGAATGTCGTCTTGAAACGGTGCACTAGTTCAGAAAATATGTAATATGCTAGAAATTACAAATATAGTAGGTGCATAAATATCTCTCTTACCAAATTTTTATAAAGTAGGACGATAAATAATTAAATTATACATTTTGTTTTTAATGTATATTTGTATCTTTTTTTTTCTTCAGGAGATGGTGAAGACAATTTGATCTTAGGACTCACTGTTGACAAGGTTTGCCAGAATGAAAATGTCAAATTAACACTTGGAGAAGAGGAAACAGAAGTTTCACCTTGTTGCATTCTTATATGCCTAACACTTGATGGAAAGATTTCTATCTTTCACTTCGCTAGGTATTTTTCCATGTTATAATTTTAGTACTCTCTTTATGCTGTTTAGGTATCTCTTCTAGGTGACCTAAGCTTCTTTTCTAAAGAAACTACATACCCTAGATTTGAAATGACTTCTTTTATAGTGCTATAGGTGCTTCAGTATCATCTAAGAACTTGGCTGAATCTGGTGAGGATGAGGATGCTTCTCTTGTGTCATCGTTAAAACATGAGCCGGCCCAGATTTCTTCGGAAGTGAAGGAAGAAAGTGGAGAACAAACCTTTTCAAGGTTGAAATCTCATGAATTGAGTGGAACTGACAAAAGAGAGAATGAGAGGGTTACTACTATTGCAAATGCCCAACCATCTTCGTTACTTGCAAACATCAAATCTGAAGACAAGTGTATTACTGAAAATCAGGAACGGAAACCTCATCCAAAGTTTCAAACGTCAGAAGCTGATGAGCAGAAAATATTCCCTCCTGTAAAGTTGAACAAAGATGGCAATATTCAAACACCACTTGTTGCAGGGAAGCAAGACGTAAAGTTGGAACATTTATCATTTAAGACTTCTAGTCTTGAGGGTTCTCAACCTTTGGCTAAAGGTTTTAGTAGGACAGAGGACAAATCTATTTCTGAAGTCAAATCTAGCCCAAGTTCCTTCTCAGAAAAAGTTTTTTCCCTAAGCAACGATAAACAAACAGGTAGCAGTATGGAATCATCGGGAAAGATGGCATCAACTAATTTACAGAATACGCTGCCTTCAACCTGGTCAAGTATAAAAGTTGATTCTTTAAAAACATTTGATGAAAGGCCTTTGTTGCTACCTTCCCATGGCGCTGAGCGGAGGATCTCTCACAAGTCTGATATAAGTGCTTCTCAACTTGCTGGAGATTCACTTCGAGATAATTCACTTATGAAGGAGCGGGCTGGACCTTCAGTTGCATTTAATTCTTCTGGACAGAGATCTGCTACAGGAACCGGAAATATCTACTCATTGCCTGCACATCGGGGTTCACAAGTGTCAATGCAGGGGAGTTCTACTTTAGGAAAATCTTTTGAGGCTCAACCCAACAAAGAAAATCATGCGACTCGCTCCACAACGGGGTCACTATTTTCTGAGCCAAACGTATCAAAACAGTTCAGCAATGTAATTTACTTATCTTGGGTTATCATACGTTCTTGAGACATCTATGAAGTTATTCTTTCATAGTTGGCTCACTACAGAGCTCTTCTAAATTTGATATTCTTTTATTCGTTTGCATAATAAAAAGAGCTTTACAAAATAGAGCAACAACTTCAGATAAAATATTATTTAAACCTCTCACTCATTGTGCAGGAGTGTATGAATTCCTGGCTATTGTTTACAATTTTTTCCGTCTCCATTTTAATACCTGCTAGTTTATGTGGCAGTAGTTTTGTTCTTCTCCACATTCTTGTTTCTATACTAAAGAGATTGTTGAATCATCTCTTCTAAAAGTTTGACTGTTATAACTTATACTCATGTATTCATTTTCTCATCAATCATCTGACACATGGAGATTTCCAAAATTGGTGGCTGTGATATTTGCACACATGACATTTGCCAAATTTAACACCATGTTGAACCTCCTCATTAAAGATTAACATAGTAGAGAGATGATGAATATATTTATTTATATTTGTTGAAAGTATCTTCAATACAGATAATGGTTTTTTAGTTGTATGATACTGTAATTTGCCTTCTTTTGTATCCATAATGTAATGAAATATGCGATATGTGTTTCTTATGTTGTATCTTTCAGGTTGAAGAAATGGCCAACAAATTGAACAACCTTCTTGAAGGCATTGAAGGAAAAGGTGGGTTTAAGGATGCATCTGTCGCTGCCCAAGAAAAAGCAGTTATGGAGTTGGAGCATGGTATATGGGCTCTTTCAGGCAAATGCAGAACATGGAAGGTTAGCCTTTTGTTTTACGCTCTAGGTCTTATTTCACATTTACTAGTCAATCTAAGAGCTCGTGTATTTTTGAGTTTTGCTACCTATCTTCTCCCTTCTCTTTTCAGTTTCCATAAGAAACCTACTGTCTATTGTGTTATACTAACTCTATTGCAGAATGGGATGGTTTATTGTGACTTGGGTCAATGTTTCAAGAGAGGTCCCTTTCTCTCTGTATTTTTTGTTACCATCCAAGCATCTGCTCGTTCATTTCGCTGTCACTCTCTCTCTTCCTTTCTCCTTTTCCAATTTACTCCTGTGTCATGTCAATCTTTAATCACGCTCTTCACCACAACTGAACTAATGAGACTGATAAACTGATAGAAGGAACTCAAAAACAATCCCACAAAAACTGCTACGATTAGAAATTCATTCTTGGCTGCAATCTAGCACAAATTAAGCATAAAAAATCTTTCTTGGCTGCAATCTAGCACAAATTAAGCATAGGAAGCTTTTGTTTTGTTGTTATCTGAATCCTATATGGTGACACTATCCTGAGGGTCATGAGTTAGACTATTAAGGAGAGCCGTAAGGGTGTTTATAGGTTTATAGCAAACCTTGAAGTATTTGCTTTACTATACTATTAGTCCTGGTGGGTTGAGAAACTATGCACTCCATCCATCTGCGATTCACTGAGTTGATTTGACTTGGTCGAACTGGCAATATTTAGTGCGTAATTTTTCGTTAAATAGTTAATGATCATAGGAAAAACTTACATGGTAATAAATTCCATGTTGAATTTTAATATGTATATACTTTTTTTAACTAAAAAGGTATAAGAATTGATAAAACCAGTCGAACAGTTTTTGTTTTCTAAAGACCAAAAGAATTCCTTTTCTTTTTGCTCTCTCTCTCTCTCTGTTTGGAGTTTTGATTTTCCATTTTTTTTTTGTTTCATTTTTTTGAGAAGTGTATAGTATACGCCAGAAAAAAGGGATCAAGGTTACAAAAGTAATCGAGGGAAGGGCTGTGAGGTTGATTTATGTCCAGCAATTCAAATTTAAACTATTTTCCAATTCATCTGTTATTTAATTCTCAATCAATTTATACATATGGCATTGTAAAGTTTTGTTGATTATTTTATTGTTCATCTCTTGACTGTGTAGGGAATAATGGATAAGCAACAAATAGAGGTCCAACTTCTTTTTGATAAGACAGTACAAGGTAGGTTCCTAGTTCTTGTTCATGCAAAGTTGTGTTTTGTACTTGTGGAGTTATGGATGTAAATAAAATTCCTTTCTTTGTGATGTTATGTGAACGTTTTCTAGATGAACGTGACCTGTCCATTTACTCTTCAATTTGAACACTAGCAGAAGGGGGCTTGAGTGCCATGTGCTCATTGTTGACTAACACAAAAGTCAAATTCTAGTTTTGAAATTGTCCCAAGTACCAAGCAGCGAAAACAAAATTTTATGTATTGATAGCTAACCTTTGGGGCGGGCAGCTTCTTAATATGGCACATTAGAAGTTAGGCTCTATGCAAAATGACTCTTTGATGTACCAAGGTCCATGCTAGTGTACGTCTTAACTATCAATAACACATGATTACCTTTTCCTTTAATTTCTCAATTCCTTCAGGAAGAAATTCACATATTTCTAATATTAGGATCATATTTGATTTCCCAAGGTTAGGATGAAATTGTTCGATTTCCTAAGATTAGAGCCAGATATGATAGATTTCCCAAGATCAGGATCATATTTAATTAGGATCTGATTTACTCATCCTCTTGCATAAATACATGTAACTGTTTCAGATGAATATGCTGAATTGGCTTTAACCAATGTGGTATCGGGGCGATTTTATTTTCTGGGCTCTGTTTTTTCTGGATCCTTTTCCCTTGCATCTTCCTTTTCTATTTTCAGTCTTCACCCTATTGTAGGTTTAACCAAATATATTTTTGTACACTTGATTGTAGGAGATAATTATGTTTAAGATATATGATAGATCAGCTCATTGTAATGTTTGATATAGAAATGAAATTTAAATTTTCTACAGTTCACATTCATGTTATTAAGTTTAATTGATCAAAAGTGTGATTGCACATGGTAATGGTTCGATCATGCATGGACACGCTTATGCTGCTGCTCCTGTTAGAACCCTCATTGTAGTTCATCCTCCTGCTGCACATTAATGATCTAGATTATGGCCTTAGATGTATGCGTGCTTAGGGCGTGCTAATGTTATGTCTCAGCCATTGATGGTGTTTGTAAACTGTTATGTCAAACTATATATTGACTTATATAAGTGCATTTTATGATCCATATTTTCCTTGCTGAGTTGAAGTTTGCAATTTCTTTTATTTTCAATAATCTACAAAACGATACATATCCCATTTGAAGTTGCTGGATAACTGTTAATGTTTTTTCCAGTTGTGGCAAGGAAAATATATGTGGAAGGAATTTTCAAGCAAGCTACAGATAACCGATATTGGGACCTTTGGAATCGTCAAAAATTGAGTCCTGAACTAGAGTTGATGAGCAGACATATCTTAGATTTAGATCAGGTGCATATAAGTTGAACGTTAATCTTTTCTCCATTCCATATGTTTCCTGCATTTCTGTAGCTTCTTTTCCCCATGTATTCCAGGAGTTGACCAATCAGATGATTGAATTGGAAAGGCACTTCAATGCTCTTGAGCTCAATAAGTTTGGTGAAAATAGAGAGATGCAAACAAACCAGAAAGCTTTGCAAAGTTGGCGTGGACAATCCAGGTACTGGATTACTGTTGTCCCTCTGCACCTTTTGTAGCCACAGTAAATTCATTCATTTAAGTTGTGCATGAGAACGTGAAATCCTTCATACCGAATTCCTTTTTCCTTTTTAATTTCTTGTATCTGGGGGCTTAATGAGCCCTGAGGCCAATCAAGTTAGTTCAGATATATCAGTGCAGGCAATCAGACTGTAACACGTACTTGAGTGGGGCTTCCTTGCAGGCACATTCAGGAGTTGCATAGTTTACATAACACGATGAGTGCACAATTAGCAGCAGCTGAGCAACTTTCTGAGTGTCTCTCAAAACAGATGGCTGCTCTAAATATAGAATCTGCTGCAAAAGAACAGGATGTAAAAAAGAAACTGTTTGAATCCATTGGTCTCTCCTACATTGGTGCCTCTCACGGCTCCCCGAGTAAGGAAAGGGCTCTAGATACCTTGTCAAATGAAGAACTATTGATTACTTCTCGTTCTGTTTCTGCTAAAGAGCAGTCTAGTAGACACCAAGCTAATCTTTCCAAGGGTTATGATCCAGAAACTGTAAGGCGGCGTCGAGACTCACTGGATCGGGTATATCCCTTGGCCTGGTTTTTTTTTTTTGGGTTATTTAATCTGGATGAGTTGGTATCTTCTGCATGCTTCTCATGCTGTCCCTAGTTTACGCTGACTATATACCTGCATTTAACTTCTACATGCTGTTACATATGCTTCTGGCTTAACGTCTTTTCAGTTTTTCGTTTTCTTAACCCCTTTTCTTATTATTCAATGGTCGTATACATAGAAAAGAGCTAACTGTATTGTGATGCTAAGTAGCCGTGTTCATTTGGGCAATAATGTATGCGCTGATATTCTATCCAGTATTGCTTATGCATCATTGCATGTGTTATGGTAGCTGGGTATGTGACCAATCCAATTTCAGACACAACCTTAGTCAAAGCTTCTAGGAAAATCGTTCTTTTATGTCCACATCAAATTGGTACCTCAACATTCGGTTTGATCTTTCTTCTGATCCTGATAACTGAAAGGACCCTCACACTCTGCTAGGTAAGAATTCTGTAAAATGATAGTCACTCAGCTGTAGGTTTGACAACCCCACTTACCTAAACCAACAAATGATGGAGTCTTGGAACTGTCAGTGAGTTGGTTAACCTCGTTCTGATTGTTAAATTTGTGGATTCAGTTTCTGTCTATAGGGATCGGTAGTTTATCTCGTGTTATAGAAATACATGAACATCAAAACTTTTAAAGCTTTTGGTTTTTGGATTACATTTGTTTCCACCACCTTTTGGTCCCTTAATTTCTCACCACTATATGCAGAGTTGGGCTAGATTTGAGCCTCCAAAAACAACTGTTAAAAGGATGCTTTTGCATGAAGATGCAGAGTTGAGTGCAAATCAATCATTTTTTACAGGTGATAAACAAGATCTAACTCCTCAATTCCAGAAGGGACCCGAAGTTGCTCCTTCAGCACTTTCTAATGTCTCGGCAGCCTCTTTGTTCCAACCCAAAAATAGAGGTAAGTCCCACTTTTGGATAACGTACAGTTTCTTTTGGAGCTTATGTTTTAACAACTATAAAGTTAAACATGATGATGATTATTTTCTGTTGCTTGGGCCCTTCTGAAATTCCAGAAGATCTATCTATTGGGAGATCATCACCATCTTTGGCCCGACAGACAGCTAGACTTCTGGATCGTGGAATGGAAGTATTATCAACAAAACCTTCTGCCTTAACATCACAATCAGCATTGGAATCAATAACTACTCGAGATATTGCGGAAGGAACTCGCAAACTGACTGATGAAAATTCAATGTGTAGTGTACCTTTTGTCGGAAAGAATGATGTCTTTGCAGCAAGTGAACCTAAATTTTCTATGCAGTCTAAAATGCACGTCAGTCAAACACCATCAACCACCACTAGGTTGGCTGCACAAACACTGGCAACACCCAACAATTCCTGTGAAATTTCAGTTCATAATGATAAGAAACTTGGTTCAACTAAGTCTACAACTGGGGATGAGAATCAAATGCCAGCAATGACTGGGAGCTCATTATTTGAGCCTAAATATTCATTTGCCCCTCCATCTACTTTTGGTTCAGGTTCCAACCTGACAAAGACAGATTTACACACCGAAAATTTATCAAACCAAAGCCATCCCCGTTTAGCCTTATCATCTTCTACATCACTTCAATCAACTCCGAGTTCATCATTACCTTCTACATCTACCTTGGCATTTTCAACTCCTGTAGTGAGCGGAATCTCATCAATTGAGCCTCCTGTGGTCATGTTTGGCACAAAGACAGATGGAATTTCTCCAACTCAGGCTTCAATTGCCAATTTGTCTTCAACAGTAGAAGAGAGTATTACAACGGAGGCTTCAGCTTCTAAAGTCGTGTTTTCCACACCTACATCTGATTCGGAACTTGGACCTTCAGTGCCATCTTCAACGACTGACTTTTCAACCAAGTCAAAATCTGGTAATCAAATTGATTTAGGTGGCATGTTAAGTTCCTCGTCAGATATTGCATCAAATATTAAGCCAGAAGAGCCTTATGCGGCAGAAGATCCACTACCAACAGCTGTATCAAGTGCTGGGATCGTTCCTGAAGTGAAACACTTAACATCTGATGCTTCTCATGAGGATGAAATGGAGGAAGAAGCCCCTGAGACTGATCAAACAACTGAACTTGCATTAGGAAACCTTGGTGGGTTTGGGCTGGGATCAATGCCAAACTCAACGGCTGCAAGTTCAAATCCATTCGGTGTAGCACTGCTCAACAGAGATGCTACTCCTGCTAGCTCAACATTTACAATGTCTGGTCCCAGTGGTGAGCTGTTTCGCCCTGCATCCTTTAACTTCCAATCTCAACAACCTTCTCAAGCACTGTGGCCAACAACGAATGTTGGTGCCTTTTCTGGTGGATTTAATACCGGGATCACTAGTCAAGCTCCTACTGTAAGTGGGTTTGGACAACTGGCACATATTGGATCTGGGCAACAAGTGCTGGGATCGGTGCTTGGTGGTTTTGGACAGTCGAGGCAGCTTGGTGCTGGTCTTACTGGAACTAGTGCTGCTTCTGCAAGTGGCTTTGGTAATGGTTTCATGGGCGTTTCTTCCACTGGTTCTGGAGGTGGCTTTGCTGCTGCTTCCACAGGTGGTGGATTTGCTGCTGCCGCAACAGGTGGTGGATTTTCTAGTTTGGCATCAGGTGGGGGTGGGTTTGCTGGAGCTGCTGCAGCAATAGGTGGCGGTGGTGGGTTTGCTGGAGCTGCTGCCCCCGCTGGAGGTGGGTTTGCTGGAGCCGCTGCCACAGGTGGTACTGGGTTTTCAGGTAAATGATGTGTTGGATTTATTTATTGCAGATTAAAACTAAGTATTGATCTATAAGATAAATGAATTTAATCGAGAAAGCAATAAATAATTGCAACACTATAGTCATCTTTTTGAGACTTGAACTTGATCATGAAATTTTAATTGTAAATAGGGAACTATGTCGTTCAGAGCTTGCAATAATGTGAATTAGTAAAGGATGCGCCAGTAGGCTTTTGGAGGCCTCTTGTTTCACAAAATTATTCATTATATAATTTTATTTTGTATACTGTAAAGGTGGTGGATTTGGAGGTTTTGGCAATCAGCAAGGTGGTGGATTTGGAGGTTTTGGCAATCAGCAAGGTGGTGCCGGTGGTTTCTCAGCATTTGGTAGCAGTTCAGGAGCTGGAAGACCTCCAGCTGAACTCCTCACACAGATGAGGAAATAGTTGCTAATGATGGGCTCATAGAGAAGTTCATGGGGACGATAAGTACCGATAGAGGATACACTCCAATGCTCAACACCTGTATTTCTATCTATTATCTCTGGTACTTACTGCTGAATTTCTGCCTTACTGTTGTGTATTTATCTGATACTTTGTTGGATTCAAGCAAGCAACGAGGTTTATGTGTGGGAAAGAATTGTTTCTTCACCATCTATGAAATTTCTTTTCAAGTCTCATTTATGATTTACTTTGTTATCAAATTTGATTTTTGCAGAGTGATTCTTGGTGATGGTATGATAATTCATTTTATGTAGAAGGAGTTTTATATATTGGATTTTGAACTATCTCGTTTGCATATTTGACAAAATCAAAAGATAAAGGGCCAAGCTGCAAATTTATAGAGGGATTAAAATTGCACGTGGTCTAAAACCTGTCTAATAGGTACCCGTTGCTGAATAAAGGAGAGCTACAACTTGTAATTTTATTTATTTTGCGACTAATTTTTCTGAGTGTTAAGAGTTTTCCTAAAATGTTGCAAATAACTTTTAGGTAAAGAAAAAAAAAAACACAAAACATTATTTCAAACTAAAAAGTCAATTTTAGTTTCTGTTTGATGGTTATTATTTGAATTTTTGTTTTTCTATATATTTATTTTTAATTACACCGCAAAATATTCTGTATGTAAATTTAATTTTTTACAATTTTTATTTGATACACCACATTTTAATTATAATTAAGTTTCTCAATTTTTGTTCATTGTAGTAATTATTTTTTTTTCTGTCAAATTTTTATCTTCAACCTTATTTTAATTAGTATGTCTCGTTCTTGATGATGATTTATATCAAAATATTTTATTTTCATGTTTTGAAATGTACGAATTTTTTTTTTCGCACTTTCTATTTATTTGCTCTTTTAAAAATATGATGAAAAAATAAATTATTTAAATTCATTTCAACGGACTTGAACATAAAATTGTTATCAAATACAAATTATGTTAACTAATAAAAAGTTTGAGGATAAGAACAACATAAAAAATCATTAGAGACACAAGTCATATAATGAACAAAGACTAAGAACCTTAAATGCAGTTAAAATATGGACCACGATTTTTATTTCTTGCTCTATATTTTAATTACATAAAGTTCTGAATTTTTGCTCATTATAATGATTTTTTATTTCGTTCATATCCTCGAACTTTTCATTAATTAACATGTATTTGATAATAGTTTTATGTCCAAAAATTCATTGAAATTACTTAAAATAACTTATTTTTCGATCATTATTTTGAAAAATAAATAAATAAAAAGTGCAAAAAAATATTTTTACCTATATTAATTAATGAAAGTTGAAGATTTGAATTTCACCAGGGGAAAAAAAAAAAAAGAAGTTAGGTACAATGAGCAAAAATTGAACGGTTCAGCTACAATTAAAATGTGATCAAATAAAAATTAAACAAATCCTGATAATGCAACCCTATTTGTTTATTTTTAGCAGGGATTGGGCGGAGGCATTTGTGCTTCTTCAATGCAAACACAGGGAAATATGCACAGCCAATCTTAATTACTGCTATTAATTATGCGACAAAATTGTCGATTGAAATCAGCACTGTTTAGGTTAGCAAGGTTTTTCCCTGTCTTAACGGGAATTTGTTATCAAATTTAATTACTTTTTGAAAGGAAACCCTTTCGATGCTCCGATCGATTACAATTTTTATCATTCGAGTAGAAATATAGGAAAGGAATTAACAGTGGGGGTGATAAAGTAGGAATTGTTGGAATTCGGCATATGATGCGTTGTGGATTGAGGTGGAGAGAAATACAGACATGGATTCGGGATTATGATACGATTCAGTCGCTTGCAGTTAAACTGATCTACGTTCAGATTGGTTGTTCATTAATTGGATCGCTTGGGGCGTTTTACAACGGGGTTTTGCTTGTTAATTTGGCAGTTTCCTTATTCGCCCTTGTCGCCATTGAGAGCAGTAGCCAGAGTCTCGGCAGGACCTATGCCGTTCTTCTATTGTGCTCCATTTTGCTGGATGTTGCCTGGTTCATTCTCTTCTCTCACGAAATCTGGTTCGCCCTTTTCTTTTTCATCGTACTTGTATATTTCTAGTTCAATTTCTTGTTCTTCATTTCCGTACCATGTACACCATCTTGGCATGCTGTAATTCAAGAAAACAGTAAGAAATCCTCTTTAATTCGAAAATGTTTATGTTAATAATCTTTTTTAGCGACACTGACATTTCCGAGAGTATAGTTGAAGATAGTTTGATGCGTGAGATGTGGAGCAGAAATGTAGTTTCTATTCCTTATTCTAGTAGAAGAATTTATTGGTATCTAAATTGTCTTGTGGTTTCTTGATTCAAACTGGTTGATTATTATGACAGTAGTTTTATGATTTTTTTTTCATTTTTCTCTCCCGTTGTCAGTTGTGAAAGTGGGCCTGGCTTGTCCAGTGGATGATTCAATTCCACTTCACAAGTCCAACATTGCAGGGTTAGTAACATTTAAATGCATTATGCACAGTGTTACCCTTGCATTCTGGCAAACTATTTTCCTTAGTTGAACCTATGAATTAAGTCCCTTGCAATCGGCCAAATTATTTTTTGTAGTTGAACCTATGAATTAAGTCAGCTTCAGCAATCTTACTTCCCTTCATGTGATCAATTATTTGCAAGAAGCACTTTATGTTATAGTGCCTGGAATCATTGGGAAACACAGCTGGTCTTTAAATGACTCCTTTTCCAGTTCTAACACGTTTAATGACTGGCTTTATTTTTAATATTTTATTGAAGATGAAGGCAAGGCACAATTAGAAAGATAAATCATGTCTTTTTCTTTCGTAGTAGGATTTTGTATTTAACTACAAGACCTGTTGAAAAAGACATCACCAAGGCCAAAATACACGGAAGAATTCTGGATATGAATCTGCACCACGTCTTTATCAACCAAAGCTGTCTTTTTATGAGCTGATTTCCATTTAGGCTTTTCCAAGATTGGATGAATACAGGGAAATAAGTTTGTAGCTGAATCAATCCAGACTAACCTAGAGTTTGGCTCAATTGGGTTTCATTTGCCCCTTACGAATACACATGAGCATATCAAGTGCATTTTTACTCCTCAACATTACTAACAGGTGATGATTGATCTATAACTCTTGAAGCTAAATGTATATATTCCTATCCTCACATTTTAATTGATTCCTTTTTACCTTTTGCTTCAAACAGATTTCATTCTTTTTGGGAGCACTGAAAATTTAATTAGTTACAAAACTGCAATAATGAAAAAACAAAGAAAAAATTATTGACATTAAAGATTTAAGTTTAGAGAACAAAACAAATGGTTGTGATTGTGAAGTGATGCTCCGAGATTGTAAATGGTCTTTACTTTAAAATGGAACATGGTGATTACCTACCCCAAATCTTGAGTCAGAAGGACGAGAAAGATCTAGGCATCTAGCATATACTTTTATAAAATGATATGCTTTTTCATTTATGCTACGAATCGTGTTCATTCGTTTTATTGAGCTTTCTTCACTTCAGTGCCTTGCAGTTTGCCATGCTTGTAGGAGAAAGCAAAAAATTCCCACCACCAGTATATATCCCCATCATTGAATGGGCAAAATACCCCCTATAATTATGTTTACACAAGTTGAGGCTTGGCCAGAATTTCATTTCTCTGAAGATTCTATGCACTTTGTTTCCGACAAACCTAGTTCTTGGCTTCATGTCATGTTAATTTTATTAGAATACAATCGTCAGAAAAGTGCTGTACAGAGCTTGAACAGAAAATATCCTACATCATATTGGTACAGACAGAAGATACACTTGCCAGCGTGTCTTCACTCGGATCTGAAATCCCAATTTTCACTTTTTTCTATAGTATAGAAGATCGTCTTTCAAGATTGATTGTTGAGTCTTCTATTATTCTCTCTACTATGCGCTGATGCTAATGTTGAACGGGAAATTCATATCTGCAGAATTATCGACTTTTTCAGATTATGAAAATAAAAGATCAAGAGAATCAACTTAAAGGGCTATTTTTATTTTGAATCATATATTTAGTCTCATGGCTAAGAACCAAACACAAGCTAAGCTGCTAATTAGACAACTACATTGTGAAAGTGTTTTTAATTGTTACAGAATGCTGTTTGTTGTCTCCGGATAAATTGACACAAATTGCATATAGTCTTCACTACTTTACTTGTCTGGGTATTTTTGTCTATATATATCCAGGAAATGCTTATTTTTAATTGTTACAGAATGCAGGGACTTGAGCTCCCACTCCCACCCCACCTCCACACATTCTGCACGCCTTTGTTTGTTAATTTAACTCAATACATCTGTCTTCTCATAGTTGCCATCTTTGTACTCTTCTAAAGTTTGATTTATGCATGCAGGCACATTTCATCTGAGATTTATGGAACCTTTGTTATCCTTTCGGTGAAGCTCACCCTAGCAATGCAAATTATTGGATTTTCAGTGAGGTTATCATCTTCATTACTATGGATACAGATGTACAGATTGGGTGCTTACATAGACAATTCAGCTCCTCGAGAAACAGATGTTGATTTGAGAAATAGTTTCCTAAATCCTGCAACTCCTACAATTAGGCGTCCCTCTGGTTCCGATGATGTTATTGGTGGCGCTATATATGATCCAGCATATTTTTCATCTCTTTTTGAAGATGGTAGAGATGATGCAAGTTTGTTAGGGGTATGATCCTCTCACTATGTTTTGAGCTGTTCAAACATTACATCACCTCTTCCTCCCTCCATTAAAAGTATTAGAAAAAGGAAAAGGAAAAAGAAAAAGAAAAATAAAACATATAAGCACACAGAGAATATTAGAAGTCACTGCATCATCTCAAAAATTGAAAAGCTAAGCATCACTCTAAAGCTTTATATCTCTCACTCCGATGAGGCTTGTGAAATTTTAGGCAGATGTTAGGCTTACAAACATGGTAAAATGGTAACAGCTAAGATCTGTTGGTTTTGAGAGA